AATCGTGTTTCTGGGAATCAATTAATCAAAGTAGTCGAAAGTATATTTAGTTGGCGAAAACACATGCCAACAAGTAGAGACATTGATTATGAGGAAATTTGAGTCTGTGCCTTAAAGTACAGAGCTTTTAAACACAGGTGGTAAACTTAATAGCTTTTTGACGAAATATTTCTCTTTAGCACTAGGTAAGCTTATTATTAATCGAAGCTGCAAAATAAATGTGTCTAGACTATCTGGGCCATTGCTCTGTAGGAATTAAGTAAGTTTATTCGTTGAATATTTTAGCCCCGATACAAGCCAATCGATAGCACTGCCCTTTATCTGACAAGGCTGATATTTCAATAGCTTGGATGGCAATATTCTCGGGAGAAGCTTGATTTCTGTTGTAATCTTGCATGAATAAACTCTATATAAATAATTTTTTTATTTGCATAGTTGCTGGAAGAATGATATCGTTATTTACTTCGCATTAATAGGTAAAGTAGGATTTAATTTTAGGATTTTTTTAAAAAGGAATTTAAAATATAAATTTGATATTCATGCTCACACAATAAGCGCAATGTAATAATATTTTTTTATATATATACTGCTTTACAAGTTTCATTGATGTTTTTGCTTAAAACAAATCCTCTTTGCTTAAAACAAATAAGACAAAGTAGTAACATTTTCAATGAGGTTTTACTCTTTTTATATTTCAGAGAATATTAAAAAAGATTACATTTGCTACCACAATAAACTAGTTTTGCCAATTAAAAACTTCAGAATGATGAATGCATTGTTTAATGATTGAGGGAAAAATACGCTTTCAAGATTGTATATGTTAAGGTTAAAGTAATAAATCCGGTTACTATTAATACTAACCGGTTAATGTTAATAATAACCGCTTCCTTTGGTCAAAGTGAGAACTATCGCAAATTATTAACTCTAACCGGTTATTAATAATAATAATCAATGATATTTGGCTAATGTGATTCAACGGTTTATATAGAATTGGGACATGGGTGTGCCTCTTTTTATAAGTGTTACGGTTAAAGTGATAAATCCAGCTATTATTAATACTAAGCATTCAAATTTAATTATAGGTGACCTCGTCTCGTGTGTGGGTAAGAGACCAATTTGATCAGATTGCGAAAGAGACGAGGGTGTGCGTTATCAATCCTCGTTAAACAGTTTTACCATAAAGTGTTTGACTTCCCGGGCAGGTCGTCGGGCCACCAAAGCGGTTTATCCATCTCTCCACTGAGGATCAAAATTATCATGGCATGTCTTCGGGCCACTAAAGCGGTGTATCCATCTCTCTACTGAGGATCAAAATTATCATGGCATGTCTTCGGATCATCCTCTGGGATGTTTCTCTGACCGTCGCCAATAGCCCATTGTGTAGCTTTAGTCTGTGCGATGTAAATAAAATGCTGCTATATCCTATTGCATAGACCAATTTCGAAATTTTTATTTGCCTAAACAAGAACTGAAATAATTAAAATGCTTAGAAATGACAACATTTGATTACTTTTACCTCATAACGTGACATTGACATGCTTTTTATTAAAATATGAAATAAAAATACTTATCTAAGTAAAAATGTAAAGTTTTAACCAAAGAAATTAAAAAAAAAAAATAAAATAGGAAAATAGCAGGAGCTAAGCCTGAGTAAAATTTTAAGGTAACAAAAAACAAATTCTGGCATATGCATATTACGTTAACAGTATTAAAAATCATAAGTCATGCACTCGTGTTTGCTGATTAAAAATATTATAAATAGTTTAGAAAAAATGATCATGTTCAAACTATGTAGGAAATAACATTAAGTGTTGTAATGATAGTAATTAAAAAGTATAAGATAAGTATTCAGTATGCATTATATTTTTAACATATGTAGTTTTTACTTTTGTTTATGTCTTTTAAATTTTATTTATTCAAAATCTCGTTTCTACAACAACATTATTTTTAATTAAATGTTATAAATATAACTTTAAATATTTGAAAAATCATTTCATAAAGGGAAACACATTTTAATTTAAAACTCTGCACATAAAAATGTTAAAAGAATTATTGCATCGTTTGGTCTGTTTTCAAAACACCTAACTGTGACCGTGTCTTTGATCTCGGTTCGAAAACAAACAGAAGTAGTAGATGACGACTACAAGTGCCTTGATGTACTAACCGCAATTTCCCAACTCCAAGAAGAAGAAGAGGACATGGGAAGAAAAGTAAGAAAACAGGAAAAGGCGCTTCTTGTTGTTTTCCCGAGAGTTTTTCTGGAAGCGCCATTCGCTGATCCAGAAAATTTTCTCACATTCCAAAGAATGTCCCTGGAAACCACGAGGAAAAAAAAAACAAGAAAACTGCAGATGTGATCAGAAAGTTTGCAAAAAGGTATCAACTTCTGATTGCTTTGCAAAAAAACTGCGCTAATGTAAAGCAAATAAATGTTCGTTCAAATAAATAGTTAAATAGCATAAATCAATGTTTAATCAAGTCTTTTTGTTTTTAAAATTGATTTTTACTAGTCTGATGTTCTGATTTAACATGTGCGAAAACATAAAATGATTTTTTTGTAAACTGAATTATTACATTTTTCTGTCAGCTCTATTTTTTGCGATTCAGCATAGTTATGTTACAAGGTATGCGAACTTAGGTCTGGCGTGAAAATATCTTGCGTGTGCTCTTTAAAAAGAAGTGTTGAATCTTTTTAACTTATGAATTGAATTCTTTGTTTTTCGTTCGTTTTATTTATTTTTTAAACACTTTATGAACAAACTTCTTACCGTAGAGGGAGAAAAAAAATTCTGGTCTAAGTACCATACTATGTGGTAATGGTGTAATGGAAATTCTGGTTAATAAAACCAAAAAGTACGGTATTTAAATCATTAATTTTGTACTTTTTCCTTTCCGGATAGCAGATTACAGGATATTTTAGTTTTTAAAATTACAGTTCTTGTTACCACACATTTAGTAAAAAATACAAAAGGGAAAAGTAAATTTAACCAAATAAGTAGCTTTCATGCCATGCTCTAAGGTATCATGATAAAATCATCAAATTTTATGACATTTACCAAATTTTATCATCGATAATAAAACCATGTTTTTTTAGTTATTTTATTAAAACCATTACCATAGCGCTTCGATAAAAATTACTGAGCTTTTCGGTGTTCCCATAGACGTAGAAGCACGGCAAATTTTAAATTCACAGAGAAAAAAATTCTGGTAAATCGTGTTTCTGGGAATAAAAATCAAATCAATATTTAAATCAATATTTAAAAACTCATTTGGTAATTTTTTTTACCAGAAATTCTGGTTTTCAAGATTATAGTTCTTATATTCACACATTCAGTAAGAAATACAAAACTAAAAAGTAAAATTAATCGAATAAGTGATTTTAATGCCGATGTTTTAAGAAGTCATAATAAAATTATAAAATTTTATCATAGATTAAAAAAACATGTTTTTTTGTTAATTTTACTAAAATTATTACTAGCTCACTTAGTTAAAAGTTACCAAGCTATTTGGTGCTCTCGTGGAGACAGAAATACGATACATTTTACCGCATTTCGGTAGTTTTGATCATACTTTTTTTCTCAGTCTACTATTGCTGGTATTATTTGAAGAGCACTAATTAATTAGTGTGCTGATTTGCAGGTTTTTTCTTTCGTACCCTTTAGAAACTTCCATATATTTTTAATGAATTCTGCATATCTACTTTGAATATTTAATTTAATCACGACAATTTCACTCGAAATTATTTTTAAAGGTTGAAGGAGGAAGAAGTAGCAAACGTTGAAAGGAAATGGTTATTTAGATGTCCCCATATGATAGTGATGTAGTTTGAACGGAGGATATAAATCTCCCAAGGAGAATTATAGATGAATCATTTATTAAAGGATATAAATAACAAACAGTAATAACAATTTCCCCATGATTGGAAATGCATAAGATTATAGAATAAATCGAATGCAACGGATTTTCTTCATCAGTTTTAACAGATATTCACATTTTAAGCTTAGACAGTGAGTGATATTTGTACAGTGAGCAAAAAATTAAATGGACTACTCGGAATAACATCTGATGTAATGATCGGATCTTCACGTTCTAAGATTCAGTCTTAACGGTTTGAGGAAGTGATCTAAAATATGTTAATTAATTAGTGCAGACGATATTTTAAGTAACGATATCAGACGCAACGTACTTTCTCTAAATAAACATACCTTTTTTATTATAAAGATTCGGATTTATGACCCTCTCTCAGCAGGTATGGGGAAGCCTCAATCAGAAGAATATGGTCCCAATAGTTTGGTCTGGAGAGTGGTCTAAAGTTTGGACCCTTTAATGCTTTAATAATTTAATTTAATTTAATTTAATTTAATTTAATTTAATTTAATTTAATTTAATAACCGTCGTAGAGCAGCCGACCTAATTGTTAGTCAACTATTAATGTTTAATTCCATAACCGTGTAATTTTGAACCCAATCTGGAAGACAAATGAACTTCTGTATTAATCTGACTAACTTCACATTTCCATTACGTGGACAGGAGAACCAGAAAACCTCCCACGGCTCGCTTGATGGCAAGGGGACTCTAGCCCGTGAGCCGTTTACCACTGAGAATATTTTACGTCAGCACTGTGGTCGGTGCAAGCCGGATGCAGAATTCGTATCGACCAGCCATCGCTGGGATTCGAACCCGGAAGACGTCTTTGGAAGATAAATGCTCCATCCCCTGAGCCATCACGGCTCTAATTTTACTATTGGTGTATTTCGAATTATCACAAGAACTGTCCAAACGAATTGATAAACGTTTGCATGTAATTATAAAGTTCGTTAATCGAAAGAATGTAAAGAATCCAATCCAAAGAATCCGTGCAAAAATTATGTGATGACTTCAAAAAAATCACAAATAAAACAATCTATTAGCGTTAAATTACATAATCTGGCAAGTCAAATATGATTAAAAAAACGGGAAAATAAACATAAAAGCTCATAATATTGCTCCATTGTGTGCTTATAAATATGAACCTGAAACATATTTTTTTTAACACCGTATTTTAATTTATTAAAAAAAATAAACCAAATAGAAAATGAAGTTTAACTTAAAAAATTCTAATAGAAGTACTTGCTTGATTTTGAAACAGTTCAGAAATAAGGAAATAAATGAATGAGAATGAATTGAAAAAATATGGGTCATTCTCCAAAACTCTTAAAGAATCTTACATTTAGTTTGTAAAATAAAAGAGCTATTTTTTGCTTCGAAGCTATTTTTCCCCATTTACTTGTAAAAGCAGAATTATTCGGATATACAGATAATTTTAGAACAAGTTCATGAGAATGGTAATTAATTAAGTAAATTAAGAAGTAAACGTTAAGTAAATTGCGATTTAAACTGAGAAAATGATTTTATCACGTAGAATATTAGAAAAATTAAATGATTGGTTATAAGCAAATCGAAAATTTTCCTCACATGTGGATGTTTTATTACAACTCACGGCCAAAATTAATACATTTTGTTGTAGAAAATGCGATATTAAAAATTTTTTATTTCAGTTTGAATCCAGTTATTATTATGCCCGCTCTCCTTTATTTTTTTCATTGTAAGTTTTTTCACTGTATATAATTTTAACAATATTTGTAGCCAAAAAAAATTCTTACATTTTAGATTTCAATTGTAAGAGCGTGATTTTCCAAATTTCGAAGGAGTTCCATTTTAAAAATGTGCAGGGGAAAAACTAGAAATCGATTTAGTTATTTACAAAAGAAGGTTTGCTGTAAAAAGCTCTATATCAAAGTTGGTAAATTTAACATGCTCTTGAAATGCGACTTCCTTTAAACAAGTACCAAACACAAACAAAATGTCAGTTTAAAAATAGTGCTGAAAAATATACTTCGAAGTTATTGAACACAGGAAACACCATTTGTAATTTTCTGAGAATAGTCCTATCTTTTATGTTTGATAGAACAGATATATTGACAGTAGAAATCATGCTAACGCTTGTCGACGCTTGTGCTCAAAATCTCAGCATTTTATATTGGATGTCGGAAAGCGTGACAAATACATTTGCAACTTATGCCGATAGTCAAAACAGAGACGACCGAAAAATGCTTAGCAATCTGAGAAAATCGAAAACGTATCTGAAATATTTCCATAGTTCAAATGNGTGCTGAAAAATATACTTCGAAGTTATTGAACACAGGAAACACCATTTGTAATTTTCTGAGAATAGTCCTATCTTTTATGTTTGATAGAACAGATATATTGACAGTAGAAATCATGCTAACGCTTGTCGACGCTTGTGCTCAAAATCTCAGCATTTTATATTGGATGTCGGAAAGCGTGACAAATACATTTGTAACTTATGCCGATAGTCGAAACAGAGACGACTGAAAAATGTTTAGCAATCTGAGAAAATCGAAAACGTATCTGAAATATTTCCATACTTCAAATGTGAAAAAAAAGATTTTTGTAAATTAACGGTTCTTCAAAAATTATTCACGTTTTTTTTAAA